AAAATGTTGGTTTAATTTTTTGATCATCAGTATATTGTGTGGTGAAAGTATTTGTAAATTTTCCAAGTAATGAATGGCCCAATATTTTAAAGCTCTGTATAAAGAAGTTTTAAAGATGGAATTCAGAAATAAAATCAGTTACTGTATCAAAAATAGCTCAACACACTCACATTTGTAATTTCTTCCTTTGTTGAAATGTAAGAGCTCTTTGGCCTCCTTTCCCCCTGTACCAGCTTTATTTAATCAACATAACTTACACATAGATTGGAAGCAATTGCGGTAAATTGAGTTCCCATACTATTGGCTAGTCCAGTTGGCCTCCCATATAATTCGTGTTGTTTTGTAAATTATATTTTTTAAAGTATTGATAGCTTTGCCAGCAAGATACCATAATTACAGCAAAAAAATAAAGCTGTCACTCAAAAATTAAACAAAATTAAAATCCGTGTGTATTTTTACCATCGCTTTTAAACAGGATGGCTACCACCAACCATATGTTCAGAAATTTCACGTTTTTAATAAAAGCTTTATCAAATAACCACACATTATAGCCAGATGGATGTTTAGCAAGATGTAGTGAATTAAGTGTTGCAGTATCAAATGCTGGTGTAAGAATTGTTAATCTTCCTTTATTTAAAATAGTTTGTCATATTTATGGTTTTTAATGGATATGTCCTTTTTTCCCTTTGCTAATAAGGATTTGTGTGGTGGTCTGAAATTTTTGATTTAGCATGTAAATGGCATCTTGTAAAGCAATTGTAAAGTGAAACACTATAGACTATTAACAGAGATAGTAATTTAATGAGGATTGGTAGTTTTTGGACTATGAGTTAGACTCTAATAGTTCAGAATAATTATGATTTGTCCGTGTGCTTCAGTGACTTCTTAGACTAAGTACTTGTACTAGTTCAATCCTAACCGTTTATCTTGTAGATTGGAATGACACGCTGGTCAAATGTATTGCAGTCAGGTACGTCAGCCTCTGTTTTGGCATGAGTGAAAGGAATAGGAGAATAGAAGAGTTCTCCATATAAGAAAGCTGTGTATAAATGGCTGTCATGAAACCAATATTTCTGCCTATACTCAGGGTACTAGAAGTAATTAAAGTGAACTGTTTTTAAATGGTTACTTCATCCTTAATGTGACACAGTCAACTTGAAACCTAGTCAGTTGAAAAAAATGTTAAAATAGTTTTAGGTGCTGCACCTCTCTCTCAATCTTGCTGCCAAATGTGGTTTTACAGTTTAAAATATTTTTCTCTCTGCTGCTGCTATTTGAAAACCTCTTTTAGCTGACTGCTAAAACAACATAGGTAATAGACTACATAGGGGAAATAATGGCGTTAATTACAAAATGCTGTCAGAGATAAAGTAAGCAAACTGGAAGAATTGAGAGATTTTTCTTTGAGCTTTAACTTATCGCAATCTTGAATGCCATAATAATGGTATGCAGTGTAGTTGTAGCTGTGTAATTCTATCACCTGTGGAGGATTCACTTTTCACAAAATGATCCCTCATATATCAGTCCTCATCCTTAAAGTAAACCTGTACAACACTTTGGCCTTGTCTACACTACCAACTTTTGTTGCCAAAATTGCCATTTGTCGACCCAAACAGTGAGTGCGAACACACTATGAGGCGACTTTTGTCGGGGAAAATGCCTGGTTTTGGCGACAAAATACATCCACCCTCACGAGAGATTTATGTCTTTTTTTCCTCTACATTTTGGTCAACAAAGTGCAAGTGTGGACACCACTCTTCATTTCATCACTTTAATTGGCCTGCAGGAAGTGTCCCACAATGCCCAATGTCCTGACCGCTCTGATCAGCACTTTGAACTCCACTGCCCTGCAGCCAGGTAAGCAACCATCCGCCTCTCCCCCTTAGAAGCCCTGTGAATTTTTGAAATTCCATCTCCTGTTTGCTCGGCGTGGAGAGCTCTCATTGCATCTTCCCAGGTGACCATGGCGGGTTATCGCAGCAAACGCTTTCCTGCTTGGACCACTGCAGAGCTGTTGGATCTGCTCAGTATATGGGGAGAGGAGGCTGTGCAGTCCTAGCTGCCCTTGAGCCGTAGGAATTGGGATACTTACGGGCAGATTTCTTGAGGCTTGTGCGAAAAAGGCTATGATCGGGACACGCTGCAGTGCAGAGCGAAGATAAAGTTGCTGAGGCAGACATACCATAAGGTGAGGGAGGCAAACCGTCGCTCAGGTGCTTCACCTAAGACCTGCCGGTTCTATAAAGAGCTGGATGCTATCCTCAGTGGTGACCCCACCTCCATCGCCAAGAGTCCCGTGGATACTTTGGAGGGCACGGAGATGGAGGAAAGAGGACCTAACCCAGAGGATGAAGTTATTGATGAAGAGGTGGAGTTAGATGAGGATGTGCAGCTCCCAGCGGGGTTGCCCAGTGGGGCAGGCAGCCAGGAACTGTTCTCCACTCCAGAGGTGTCTAGCCAGTCTCAGCAGTTGCTCTCTGGCGAGCAAGCAGCAGGAGATGAGACTCCTGATAAGTGGCTGTGGTTTGTGTAGTGTGGAGGTGGGTTCAGGGCATAGAAATATGGGAGGCTGGCTGTGTTTCTGTGAGCTGGACATTTCCCTGCATCGCTAATCAGTACGGCGGAACAGGGTGTTGATGCACGCCGAGATCTCACGGGAATCCTCCAGAGAGGTCTCCAGGAAAGTACCTCCAGTTTCCTGGAATTACTCGGTAATCCTCTGCTGAAGGGTCTGGGGCAGAGCAGCTGTGTTCCTTCCCCCATTGTAGGAAACTTTCCCGTGCCATTGGCAATTACTTGTGCAGGGACCAAAGCAGCACATAGGCGAGCAGCATAGGGAACAGGGAGGAAGCCACAAGTATGGAGTAGATGTACCCTCGTTTCTCTGCTTACTCTTAGCAGTGAGATATCTGCTAGAATTACCCCAGCCTGTGGAAAAGTGTGGGAGAATTTTAGAATTTGTTCCCTAGGGTGCTGCACCCCATGATTCTTTTCCCCATGTAGAGCTCCTCCCTCTCCCCCGCGCCAACACTCACTATACTTTGGGTGTTCGCAGAGATGTGTGCCTGACTAGGGTCAGTGAGAAAGTGATGGCAATGTTGCAAAAGGTGTATTTAACGGAAGTGTTTCAGTGCTGTGCGTGAATTTAACAATCCTGCTTCTGTGCATTGTCCCCTGTGCTTCACCAGATGTGGCCTTCAGGAACACCCCATGCACCCCGACGAGCTCCTCTGCCAGATAAGAAAGTGCCCAAGACACAGCAAAGAAGACATGTTCCGGGAAATCCTGCAGTGCTCCAATGCAGAAAAAAGGGAGTGAAAGGCGTGCTGGGAAGCCAAACGGCGGGACAGAAAAGAGAATCACGTGTTTAAGGATGCTTCTGAGCAGATGCTTAAAGTAATGGAGGAGCAAACACAGGTGCTGAAGTCCGTAATAATGCTGCAGACCGAGCAGATTAGTGCTCGACCTCCACTGCAGGACATTCAGAACTCTTTTCCATGCCCCCCGCAAACTCTGCCCTCACATTCCTTTCCACCTTCCGGGACTTCTCGGTTTCCCCTTCACTCCACCCACTCAGACAACGTTCACAATGGTAGCTGGACCTACACGCAGCTGTGAAAGTCTGCCCTTCCCTGGTTCCTCCTTTCCCGTTAAGCATCTGTGTGTTTGTGTGTGCTGTTTCTTGTGCAATAAAAGCAAACGTTTATAATGGTAAATCATTTTTAATTTTCTTCTACAAGGTGAGATTACAGGCACCACCAATATATGCACAGGCATTTTAATCACTTTATTGCAGGAATATAAGGCCACAAATGTCATCATTGCCCCATAGGAAAACTACATGTAATATTACATTGAAGCAACTCAGACAGAGATATGTTACTGGTGATCATTATCAAAGTGCTGCCTCAAAGCCTCCCTGATGTGAATAGCTCCCCTCTGGGCTCCTCTGACAGCCCTGGTATCTGGCCGCTCAAAATCAGCGGCCAAGCAGTCTGCCTCGGCACTCCACCCCTGAGCAAACCTTTCACCCTTAGCTTCACAGAGATTATGCAACGTACAGCACGTGGCTATGACCATAGGAATATTATCCTCAGTGAGGTCCAACCTGCCATAAAAGCATCGCCAGCGAGCCTTTAATCTGCCAAAGGCACATTCAACTGTCATTCGGCACCTACTGAGCCTGTTGTTGAACTGCTCCTTACTGCTGTCCAGGTGTCCTGTGTAAGGTTTCATGAGCCGTGGATGTAAGAGGTACGCAGGGTCCCTCAGGTTCACTATTGGCATTTCAACACCCCCCACTGTAATCTTCTGATTAGGAAAGAAAGTCCCTGCTGGTGTTCCTGAAGATGCATGTGTCATGCACCTTCCCAGATCACCCTGCGTTGATGTCAGTGAAACACCCACGGTGATCCACAAGTGCCTGTAACTCCATGGAGAAGTACTCCTTCCTATTGATTTACTCCATTGCAAGGTGGTCTGGTGCCAAAATTGGAATGTGTGCGCCATCTATCACCCCTCCAGAGTTAGGGAAATGCATTTCTGCAAAGCCATCCACTATTTCACACACATTTCCCAAAGTCATAGTCCTTCGTAGCAGGATGCGATTTATTGTCCTGCACACTTGCATTAACGTGGTTGGGTCATTACAAAACCTAAACCTAATTTCCCCAATACTAAGTTCCCCCTACTGTTACTTACACCTTCTTGTCAACTGTCTGAAATAGGCCACTCTCATTACCACTTCAAAAGTATTTTTCCTTCCTTGGTATCCTGCTGTTAATTGACTAACCTCACACTTGGTAAGGCAATTCACATCTTTTCATGTATTTATACCTGCGCCTGTATTTTCCACTCCATGCATCTGATGAAGTGGGTTCTAGTCCACGAAAGCTTATGCCCAAATAAATTTGTTAGTCTCTAAGGTGCCACAAGGACTCCCCATTGTTTTTGCAGCCCCAATGGTTGACTTCCCTACTCCAAAATGATTTGCAACCAACCGGTAGCAGTCTGGAGTTGCCAGCTTCCACACAGCAATTGCCACGTGCTTCTCTACTGAGAAGGCAGCTCTCATTCTGGTGTACTTGCGCTGCAGGTCTGAGGCGAGCTCCGCACACAGTTCCAGGGAGGTGGCTTTCTGCATCTGAAAGTTGTGTAGCCACTGCTTGTCCTTCCACACCTGCATGACGATAAGATCCCACTATTCAGTGCTTGATTCACAAGCCCAAAAGTGACTGTCTACCCCAAGACCTGCTCTGTGAATGCCAAAAGCAATCTAAAGTTGCTCCGATCCATATCACACAGAATGTCGGGCGCCTGCAAGTTTTCTTCAGTTAGGAACTTCATGATTAACTGCACTCCATCCGTGATGTTTTCATGACAGTTAACAGAGCATAGGAGAGCAGTGTAGGATCCATCCCTTCTTACAAAGATGCCGGGGTGCACAGCAAAGAAGCGCCGTTGAAAAAATGCCGTGAAAAAAAGCCGGAAGCCCATGGAGTTCTGGGACAGAAAGCAGTGCATCACGGGACATTTAACACTGTCCCAAGATCCTCCGCGATCCACTCTGTCGTCCCACAACACCTAGCAACACCTAGCATTGCTCACACTGTCGATGATGGTGCCCCCACTGTGGACGTGATCTGCCGACAGAGGGAGCAAGTGTGAACACAAAATTGTGATTTTTAACGTGTCGACTTTTGGATGTCGACACAAATTGGTAGCGTAGACATGGCCTTTAAAAGAAGCGTGGGAGCTTAAATGCATTACTCTGCTAGACACTAAAAATCATGGACTGAACAGAGACACGGGATTTATGGCTTATTTCAACAATCAGTAACCTGCTAACCCGCTCTTTTTGTTCTAGGACTGCAGAGGTGTTAATGGGCATTCTACCTTGAATTGTCCCTTACCATATGTGCTAACTACTTATGTTAAACAATCAGTTCTACCTTGCATTTTGCTGTGACTCTGGAAGTTCCTTTCCCAGACCTGAAGAAGAGCTCTGAGTGGTTCATAAGCTTGTCTCTTTCACCCACAGAAGTTGGTCCAATAAAAGATATTATCTCACCCATAATAATGATAGGTAAAGACATTTTAGATATAAGTGATTTTTAAGTGTGTGTGTGTGTGTGTGTGGGCTCCGGCTGGGGGTGTGGGCTCTGGGGTGGGGATGAGGGGTTGGGGGTGCAGGAGGGTGCTCCGGGCTGGGACCAAGGGGTTCAGAGGGCAGGAGGGGGATCAGGGCAGAGCATTGGGGCGTGGGAGGGGGTCAGGGGTGCAGGGTCTGGGCGGCGCTTACCTCAAGCAGCTCCCAGAAGCAGCGGCATGTCCCCCCTCCATCTCCTGAATGGAGGCATGGCCAAGCAACTCTGCGTGCTGCCCCATCTGCTGGCACCATCCCTGCAGCTCCCATTGGCTGTGGTTCCCAGCCAATGAGAACTGCGGGGGCAGCGCTTGGGGCGGGGACAGCGTGCGGAGCCCCCTGGCTGCCCCTACGTGTAGGAGCTGGAGGGGGGACATGCTGGCGCTTCCGGGAGCCGCACGGAGTAGGGCAAGCCCCTAACCCCGCTTCCCGGCTGGAGCACCAGAGCGGGGCAAGCCTCGGATCCCGCTCCCTGGCGGGAGCTCAAGAACCAGATTAAAATGTCTGAAGAGCTGGATGTGGCCACTGGGCTGTAGTTTGCCCACCCCTGGTTTAGAGCCTCAAGGACTCTGTCTTTTTGTTGGAAGTCCACTTTGCATCTATATTGGCATGCCACAAGCCTTTTAAGGAGAGTCCAATTTTCTTGCACAGTTGCCAGACTCTTATAAAGGATTTGTCAATGCCTTCCCTTATACAAAGGGATTTCCCTCTTCCTGAAGCTTTAATCTATTTCTAACAAGACTGATAGGATTTCCCTTCAAACCCATTAGGCAGGGCCGGCTCCGGGCACCAGCTAAGGAAGCAGGTGCTTGGGTCGGCCAATACAAAGGGGCGGCACTCGGTCCGCTATTAGGGTGGCACGTCCGGGTCTTCGGCGGGAGCTGCCGCCAAAGAGGAAGAGAGGGAGTGAAGGAACTGCTGCCGAAGAATGGAGCAGCGTGATTGAGCTGCCGCCGTAGTGCCGCTGATCGGTTTTTTTTTTTCTTCTTCCCGCTGCTTGGGGCGGCAGAAAACCTGGAGCCGGCCCTGCCATTAAGGAGGAGTCTTTTCAACATCTTTCCTTAAAGACAATATTTCTTATTGCCATTACCTCAGCAAAGACGGTTAGTGAGCTGGAAGCTCTGATGGTCAGTCCACTAAAGACAGTGGTCCACAAACCTAAACTGGTGATCAGTACCCACTCTAGCTTTATTCCAAAATGTAGCATTTGACTTCCACCTTTCAGAGAGAATTTCTCTCCTTATGCTCTTTCCTTGACCCTGTTCCCATCCTGCACTTTAAGAGAGCGCTGTGCTTTTAATCTAGAAAAGGAAATCTTTTAGAAAAATAAAACAGTCTAGCCAAAGACTTTCTTAGTGGATTAAGAACTGCATAAAACTGTTACAAAGTAGTTAGTGGTAGTGCTTGCAGGGTTAAGATCCTGATCCACTAGAGCCAGTGGTGTCTCCATGGCTTGTTTTAGGCACATCCCAATAGTGGAGATCTGTAGTGTAGCAACTTGAAGTTCGATGCATGCCTTCACCAAGTATTCTTGTTTGGATTTAGTGTCACTCTCCATTGCCTAATTTGGGGGAGCGGTCGTACAGTCCATGTTTTGCTAAGACCTCTTTGCCCACTGTCTATTTGTGGGGGTTCATTTCTTACTACTGTATTTGCTAACAAGTAGAAATATATACAGGCCCTCTAAGAAGAAAGAGAGGTTCTTTGAGAGTTGCCTCCGTGCACTCCTTCACTCATAGCTTCCTGTCCATTTTGAAGTCCTACATGTCCTCAACAGGTTCAGAAAAATAAGCTGAGGCAATTGGTTAAATGCACACCCTTTATATAGACTAGGCCAGGGGTTCTCGGGACAAATTTTTTGGCCTCAGAATGCGGCCACCAGCAAGAGTTGGTGGCTGGTCTCACACTTTTTCCTAAAATACTTAATTAGCTATAGGAAACCCAAATAAATATGCATATATACATGTCCAAATCATTGTAATTTATTTATTGATAGCTAGTAAATCTGTTGTGAAAAGTGATATTAACAAACATATAAGTATCACTTTTCACAGCAGACTTACTCAGTTGTCAACAAGCCTGGGGACAAGTTAAGTCCTGGATGGAGGTTCGGGGGAGGCAGTGGAGGCCAGGGGAGATGGGGGTTAGGGGAGGCAGCGGGGGGCTGGAGCCTGAAGTCCTGCTGCCAGAGCCTGAAGCTTCACGGCTGGAGGATGGGGTCCAGGGATGGAGCCCGAAGCTGTGTGGCCGGAGTCTAGGGCCTGCCATCGTACAGCCATAGCCTGGGCCTGGAGCCCGAAGCCCCATGTCCAGAGCCTGCCGCCCCACCACCCCAGGGCTGAAGCCCAAAGCCTGAGCCCCACTGCCCCTGGGAATACGAGGAGCTCATTGGCTGCCTGCTCCTACAGCATTGTGCCCTAGGTGACTCCAGAGGGGGGCAGGGCCCAATCCCTGCTGGTAGCCCCAACAACCAAAGAAGTGCATCCAGGAGCAACAGGGATGGGGAGGAGGCACTACTTTGCTCTCCCCCACATCCCAGCCCGTGGCCACAAGAAAAGCCCTTAATGGCTGCATGCGGCCACTGTGGCCGCATTTCAGAAATGCTGGACTAGGCTGTCTGACATAATACACTGTGTGAGGGTACTCATGCACTCTGCCTATGGACATGACTTTGAAAGAGGGTTCCACATGTTCACTGGTAGGAAATTCTATTCTGCAAGTGTGACTGGACATGGGTGACTCTTGAAGTACAGTTTCTGTTAGGTAATCTCTCTTCTTAATATATTAACAAAGTTATTTTAGATTTTTTTTTTTTTTTTATAAACAAGGGGCAACATTTTCAAAAATAGGAGCCAAAATTTAGGATCCTGAGTCCATATTTAGGCACTTAAGGGGAGCAGGATTTTCAAAGGTGACTAAGTATTTTAGGAATACAAGTCCCATTGATTTCAAACTATAAACTCTGACAGAAGAGTAGACTGTAGACTAGACCAAACAGTATTCTTAACTTTTTCCCTGATTTGTCCTGGTATGGTCATAGAATACCCATAATTGAATCTACATAAGTGAAGTTTAGATCTGATTTAAAACTTAAGTAGTTTGGTCTGATAGTTTTTGCACACTTGCTCCTTTTTAGTGTTCATACACATGTAGCCTAATTTCAGGGATTCCAGCATCTTTTTGGAAGTTGAATATAGTTGTAGACTTATATGGCTGTCTCATGAATCCTACTGAGATAAATAATGCACAGAAATCCATTACATATCTATCTCCTCAATCCATTTCAACATAGTAAACTAATTTTTAAATTAATTTTGATGAGGTGTAATTTATAGTAAGCTTAATTTTTGAGAAAGGAGGTTGTAAATTCAAATTTGCTTTAAAAAATCTTTAAAAAAAATCAGTTTTTATGTATCCATACAAATTGGCTTTCATTTTGTATTTCAAAACCAACTACTCTTTAACTTTTTTAAATAAAGAAATTTGTGGATTTTTTAAAAAATTACAGTGTTAGAAACTGGAGACAATTCCCTGTGATGTTTAAAACTGTTTTAAACAAGCCAAAATTTCATCTCAAACTATTGTTTTTGATAATATCCTTTTTACATATATCCTAACAAAATAATATCTTTATGTTGGCTATTGAGTTTCTTTGCTTACACATACCTCTCATTTGTTTTGCTTGCCAGTATCTTCTGATACGTAAAACATTGATTTGTTATGTTAATAATAAGCCGAAATCATTGTTTTTTTGTCTAGTGTTAATGCAGTGCAAGAGACAAAGCGAATAGTAGTACAATTTTACTCTTCACTAATATCCCAACATTCCTCAAGTTTTAACAGAGGTCCATTGTATCTGAAGTCCTTTTGACTTCAAGAAAAAATATTGCACAAATCTCAAAGGGAGAAGAATCTTATTGAACTGATGATAATATGAATCAAAAGAAGAGAAGACGAATATCAGAATGACCCTTAATGAAACAAAATTCCTGAATTTTTAAGTGGGGCTTACCATGGAGACTGTTATGCCACATTAACAT